AATTAATATATATATATATATATATATATATATATATATACATATATATAAATTTTTACAATTTTGTAAAGTCTATAACTGTATTTTTATAAGTCCAAAAAAACATAAATAAAATATTGAGAGATACATAAAAATTCAAATAATAAAACTAAAATCATTTCAGTAATAAAATGATCATAATTAAATTAATATGATGGGAAAATGATTCATATGTTTTAAGAATTCATTCTGTAAATATGGGGTACTCCACCTCCAACTGTGGATTACCGACCACATTAGATTTATCGAACTAACCCAGTGTTTCCCATAGCCCACAATCCAAGGAGGGGCTCATTAGCGGGTCCTCAAACTCAGGTCGATGAATCAAGGGTTTGCAATCTTAGTATGTGGATTGCAGGTCATCCCCTAGAGACGAGTCAGGGTCACCACGACCTGATGCGACCACAGTTCTATGACATATATGGGTATCTCTCGCACATGCTTATGCTTCACCCAAACGTGGATATCTAGCTTTTTCGAATGATCTATCGATATGCATGCCATGTGATGGAACATGGATGAAGTTTTGGCCCCCATCTCAATAGGCCTACCATCACACACAATGGTCACACAGTCGCTCGGCTCTATCATCTAGGCATAAACTACGACCTTATCAAGGGCTAACCCAAAACCTTCCTCGATTAATTCTTTATGCCCAAGTACTTTGGGTTTTCCAACCAACCGACCTAGATCGATAAGCATAATCCGATATAAGCAAACATCATTCGCTTAGTATGGTCCTCGAGGGACCACACTCCCACTGAGCTTATGTTTCACTATAAAAATATTTTAGTACATACTCATAAGGCTTTTGAAGGCCACATAAACCCAACATCGCCGGTCTAAAAAATGTTAAAAAATAAAAAATCCAAAAAAAGTATAATAAAAACTGTCTTAGAAGAGAGAGAGAGAGAGAGAGAGAGAAAGAGTTCAAAGAGCCTCTTAAGATTTAAAGAGAGATTGAAAGAAAACAACCCAAGTGAGACAAAAAACTTCTCATGGGAAAAAAATTTGTTCTATCAAACCCTTGCATTTGCATTATTTTCAGTACATTGCTCATTTCTTTTTTGTTGACAAAGCTCATATGGGTGATTCACGTGAAATCTTGTGAACAATATTTTTTTTTTTTTTGGTTATCTGTCATTGCTTCTCACATCTTCATACACAGACACAAGATGCTTGATATTTGTACCGAAGAGCACACCAGACTCTGTTGTGTATATCTGCATTGTACCAAGAGAGATCAGTCTTGGAGCTCAACAAGAAATTAAGGCTACACTTTCAAATAGCATGTGGGACATATGACCTATGCCATTGGCTACAACCTATCAGAACAAGTGACCTTAATCTAGAGAGAGAGAGAGAGAGAGAGTTTTTAATGCTACACTTTCAAATGTCATGTAATGGCCTCAAAGTAATCCGGATAAGTGACCCTAAGCCTTATCAGGTTTAGGAGAAACCATCAATAGGCCAAAAAAGCAACAACCATGCATGCCACCACCGCAATCGAGCTCGACAGCAAAGTAACCTTCGCCGGTATCTTCCCACCATCCATCCTCAAAGCCATGGCCTCATAAACAGGCCAACAATTGACCACCAGGAACCCGCATAGAACCAACTGCAGAAACAGACCATCCAAACTCCCCTGCATAATTACTCTCAAAATCCCCACTCCAAATGCTATTAAGTTAATAAGGGCAACTATGGATACGGTCAAGAAGAAGGGGGAAGCAACTCCAAATTCAAATATCTCCTGCTCATAACGCTTGCTTTGATCAGCATCCACCACTTTGCTTGTCACATTGAAGCTGAGAGAGGGAATTCCCATTGTTTGAAGAGAGAATTGGAACAAGGCAAAGGCATAGGCAGTCACTCCCTTGATCATCCACATCCTCTGACTATTGTACCATCTCTTAAAAGAGCTTCCAGTCATCAAGAATTCAGATAGGTCTTGGGCATAGGCAACTAGTGGTAGGTAGGCATAGAGAAAGAACCAGTAGTCTGAAACCTGAAAATGCAACATGTTTACTTTGGTGGGCTTTGTGTTTCTTGGTGAATTTGTAACGTTCTTACGGTCTAAGGATTGGAATTTGGAATTTGAAATTGAGATCAGGCTATTTTTGTTTTCGAAAAGTTTTTTGTTGTATTTATTTTAGAGTTTAGTACAAGAGGTTGTTTTATTCTTTTGTCAAAAGAGGTAGTTTTATTACTATTTAGTGGAAAAGAAAGTCTAAACCCTTTTTTTTTTTTTTCTCGATGTTGAAGTATGAATTTTATTAATTAAAAGAAAAATATACAAAGAGACCATTTTCTTTTAATATAAGGAGCTCACAGTTGCCCATGTCCATCTGATTTTAATTCAGATGATTGTAAGCATATCATTGATTGGACTCAAAGTTCAAAAATAAAAGTTTTGAATTACTGATACCCTAAGCCATCAAATTTGACAAGTATCTAAGATTGATTATGACCTCCTAGTAAGAATAATAAATGGTCTCACCGTGTACAATCCCTTAATTAAAATTGATGCAGAATAGTAGTTTTTTTCCCCCCTTTAGCGGATATAACTTTCATTCGCTAAAATTGATATACAAGCATATTGGGCTTTCCAAAATTGCCTATCAAGACTTCACAAAAATTTTAGGACCTTGTAACCCTTCTTTTTCTATTTATCTTGATAGAGCTGGAGCCCTACCAAAATAACTAAAGGCCCACCTCAACCAGGTCTAGCATTGGTTCATCTCAATATTGATCCTTACAGTTGTAATAAAAAAAAAAAAGGATTTTAAACTCTAAATATAATGTAACACATCAACTTAACCGTTCATTTCTAAATGTTCATAGATCCACAAGATCTATACCATTTTTTGAGCTACAAATTTCATATTGGTGGTGAAAATTGAATTTAAAGCCATCATAGAGATTTCTCATATCCAAAGTGTTTTGTAAACAACCTTTCGAGGTCAGGCTTTACGTTTTTTTCATAAGTCCTAAGCTTTATAGAAATTTATGTATTGTATTCTTATTTTATTCATATTTTTCCCTTATTGTTGCCAAACTCACCTAAAGGGGCAGACCAGCCAATGGACAAATTAAGTGGAGAGAGAGAGAGAGAGAGATTCATACCTTGGGAAACAAGGATGTGCCATACAAGAGAGCAAGTGGGGGGAGAAGGGCATATATGGTGATGGGAATTGAGTCTAGGGCCCAAAAGGCATAGTGAGCGTAGCCCAAACCCATGAGCAAAGAGATCCTCGATGAGCCATACGTGAGGGGACAGTATTTTGAGAAGCCCACCTCTAACAAGCCTACGCACCACCTCTTGCATTGGCTTAACAAATCATTTAGGGTAATTGGCACATCTCCAAGGAAAGCAGGCCTCTTTGGATTGCAAAAAACTGATTTCCAACCCTCACAATGAAGTCTGTAGCCCGTGTAGTAATCCTCAACTAATGAACCATATCTGAAACCAATCTGTGCAAATGACAATTGATTAGGACCAAGATTTTAAAAATGGTTGGGTAACACCGATCACATATCGTGAATTACGATCCGGTTTGGCAGGTCAACAATCTGGTCTACCAAACTGGAAATTAAAAATTTAAAAATATAAAAAAAAAATTAGCGATCTGGTCCATATGTTCGCCAAATTTTCATGGAGATCCTATTTTTTTGGTATTTCCCCCATCCGATGTGAGAAACAGACCATTGATTTTTACTTTTGTTGACCCCTATGCTTGTCAAATAGCCCAAATATTGAATAGACCCAATTTTGGGTCCAACCCCAAAGCTTGATAAATTATTACTATTGCAAGATCTAATGTTTCAAACATCGAATTGTCCTATACTAGAAACACTGAACCAACCTAGAATTGGGCTTGTTCGATATAGCATTGAGGCCTTCCTATATCTGACCTCTCAGACAACCCTAGAGTTAAAAATAAATAAAAAGAACAAGAAAAAGCGGTTGCATGGAAAATTTGAAAGAAGAAAATAAGAAAACAAGAGTAAGAGTTCTACTTAAATCTAGGGAAAACATAGAGCATTCCATAATATTGCCAAGTGTTTTTTGGTTTCTGTGTAAATCTTCCAAAGGAGAACTGATGGACGCCTACATGGTGTACCATATACCATAAACCACTAATATATTATTATATGGAAAACACTACAAAACGCCTATAGGTCAAGTTCTACAGTATTTCACCTACGGCTTTATCACCGTTTAAAGTTTATCATGCAGTCACAAATCTCTGATAGTATTTGAATTTTAATATTTTTTACAAATCATAGTGATATAAAATTTTGTAGGTGTGTGCGCCTTAGTGAGATGGACATGAATAAAATATAAAACAAATAATTTGAATGATAAAAATTACACAAAATACCCCTATAAAGTTTCAGGGGTAATTTCATCATTTTATTTTATGACTCTTATTTTTTTAATATTTTACTTTGGTGCAATTTGGTCATATGTACACACACCCCAAATTTTATATAAATCTGAATAGTATAAAAATTATAAAAATTCAAATACTACTGAACAACTGTAACAGTGTGCTGAACTTTAGACGGTGATGATGTGTAAGTGTACTATAGATCTCCACCTGTAGGCATTTTGTAGATGCTTTCTTACTATATATACTATACTTTTCCTTCCTTCAGATAAGTTTTTGTTCTATATATGGTATACTTTCCCTTCTTTTAGATAAGGTTTTGTTTTTTTGTCCTCAAGTCTACGGATAAATTTATTTAGGGATTGTACATAATGAGACCATTTACCTATTGACAAGAAAGTCATAGTTGTTTATGACCATCTGATGTGAAATTTGATAGCTTGAGTGTGTCACAAAGTTCGAAAAAAAAAATTTGAACTTTGTGCTTAGACAATAGAATAAATACAACAACTCAATTTTGCATCCAAATTTGCATCCAAAGGTCAAGATTTGTTATGACGATTTTTTCCAAAAGATAAATGGCCTCATTGTATACTTTTCCATTTGTTTATTGATGTCATGGAATGATGTATCCTTAGTTCCTTACCATCACTACATAAGCTTCTTCGACACATTCATACATAGTAGCCACTAACCAAATACGAGGCAATCTTTTATACCCTACTTTTGGTCGTTGGTTTCACGGTCTCCTTTTAGACACCGCCATGGGCTTTTCAAGAGTATTTGGGTGCCGTCATGGTGTCACCCCAACCCTAGCTTCCTCTAGAAGGGATGGTGTTTTGGTGTGGTTTCGAGTTAGTGAGACTTGGGCTCAAGGACTAGAGAGGAATCGGCTTCCTTGCTTCAAGTGGACAAGAGGATTTCCAAGCATCTCAATAAAATAGGGATGTTGTTGGTTGGTCTTTCTTTTAAGTAGGATTTCTTACCCTGTTTTTTATCTTTATAATTATAATAACAGAGTATATCTTCTTATATTAATGAATAGTTACGGTTAACATTTAAAAAGAAAAACCAGATACGACGCAAAAAGGGAAAAATTAACGATATTCCTATGCTTAAAAAGCAGAAAAAACCGCTAAAAATATGAAAATAGAGAAATGGAATTTCGAGATGCTTACTTTGGAGCCCCAATCCGTTCCTTGCTCATAAGTGCAAGCTGCAAGTTGAGAGGCATCGGCAAGGACCTTCCGGACCCAAATAAAACCCCTGTCAGATTCAGAATCAGAATCCGAATCCCAATCCTCATCCTCTTGAGGCACTGGAATTGGAACTGGACCTGGAACCGGAGGAGGACCATAAAACGCACAGCGCTGGAAAAAGGCACCGGTACCGACATAAGGGGCTCCCCAAATCCCATCCATTCCAATTGGGTTGATCCGGAAGAGACGCGTGTGCTCGCAGTGGTAAATGTCGGTCTTTGCTACGCCTTGAAAGCGCTGAGGGAACTGCACAAATGCCAGGTCCTCGTGGAGCATTGGGTCAAGCAGGTAGCACAATGCCTGGCGTGGGGCACTTGGATCACTACAGTACATGTCGCAGTCGAGCGTGAGGAGAATCGGGGCGTGGCTTAACAACCCCGACACGCGAAGCTTCAACATCAACACAAAAAATAAATGAGGGAGTTTATATAAGGCATCAATTTTATACTATAGAAATAAGGTGCACCTCAATATACGAATACTTAAAGTTGCTCGGATATTAGAAAGGAAAAGTTTGTATAAAGTAGCATTTTATGTTAGAGAAGCAAAGCGTATTTTAAAATTTTAAAATTTGAAAAATGTTTTAAAGTCGAAACACTTTCTACTTGATTATCTCGACCTCCAGATGTACGAGCATAAGGAAAAACAAGAATTTCAAATCTTAAAAATAATGCATCTTGTTTTGAGCTATCAGGACCATCTCTTTTCAATATTTTCAAATGTTTATAGATCAGCTCGATCTGCACCATTTTTTGAAATTTTACATTTTATAATTGAGTGTAGTTTGCATAAAGATGCATCCATAGGTGTAGAGGTAAGGTGTACCTTCAAATTTTATCATGGTATATAATTTTGATGTAAAATGTTTTTAGGATTATCTCAAAATCTATTTTTATATCTAATTATAACATTTTAAATTTAAAAAATGGTTAAAATCAAGTAGATTTATTAACATATGAAAATCTTGAAAATGGACGGTGCAGATAATATGTTGTAAAATACACTATTTATGAGACTTAAAATCTTTTTATTTTTCATAGTCATACATGTCGATATCAAGATGATCAATCAAAGGGTTTTTCAACATTAAAACTACCTTTTCCGATGGATTTTTGAGGGACATCTGTAGTTCTACATTATAAGGTTGCATCCTTATATAATTTTTTTCCTTTATAATTAGGGTTCAACATGGATTTTCAAGCCACCAAAAGTTTTTGACACTAGAACTCCATATTCCAGCAAAACTTAGAGTTGTCTTAGTTGTATAGTATATAATATGGGCCTTATATAATCTTCACCCTATTAGAAGACCTTCCAATTGATCTCTTGACATTGATATGTATTGATACGAAAGAAAATAGAATTTCAAATTTTAAAACTAATGCATCTTTTTATAAATTACATATACCATCTATTTTCAGGATTTTTAAGTATTTATATATATGCTCGATCTGGACAATTTTTTAAGCTTTGAATTTCACAATAAACAATGAAAAATAATATATTTATATCATTACAAGACTTTCTGACACCAAAACTGCATCTTTCTCTACAACTTGGAGGTGCGTCACACTTTGATTGTGGTTTATGCATTGTACAAACCTCCCCTGTTGAGGCTATTCCACAAGTTTGTGTGGGGCTGTAATTATTTTTTTTTATTTATTTTTTATTATCTTTCTTTTTTTAACATCAGCTCGTGTAATGCTGTAATGGGTAGACCTCGACGTAGACTTGGCCTGGCTCGATCCAGTTCTGTCAGACAACCCCAACCTACCAGTCTAGCGCCTGGGTCATGTCAAGCCAACCAAAACATAGAAAACTATAATTGTGTCAAGCCTAGATCATGTCAAGTCAGCCAAATCACACCAACAGCATAGGCCAAACACAATTGTGCCGGATCTTGTTGGCCTCAAACCCGAACCACTCAATCTAGTTTTGGGGTCCAAATGGATCAATTTGACCTATTGGTCACTGACCTGATTAACACCTTTTTAGTAAGAAAGAGAGATGTTGGCAGGCCAATTATTTTTGGAAACTTCATTAAATAATTTAATCTTTTTTTAAAATAGTTCCCGAATTTTTGGCATCTTGGTCAGTAAGGAAAATCATAGCATCCACATGACGCACACTTGAAGGGTCAGATTTAATCGGGGAAGATTTGTAGACTACAAATTGATTTAGTTTTTTTATTTTATGATTTTTATTCATAAATTATCTTTGCCTAAAAATTGGGTTGTTGATTCATTTTTTATAAGTTGCGCCCAATAAAATAAACAAATAAATATAGGAAATGTATATAATGAGAGCTTTTACTTTTGATACAATCATCATTGACTATTAGATTTGAAACCAGGTGGTTCATGATATATCGTTCTTTGAGCACAAAGCCCAAAATAAGATTACTCAAATATTGTGATACACTTTCTTGTATTAGATTTCACATCCAATGGCTAAAATTGATTATATCTTCCTTGTACCAACAATAAATGGTCTTATAGTAGACAATCTCATATATATATATATATATATATATATATATATATATATATATATATATTAGTGTGTAGTGTAGTAGTAGT